AGCGATAGAATCTGCAAATCACGTTTTTGCAGGTATGAATGACCCGGAGCCGTACTGGCTTCACTTCCTGTTTTTTTCCTGTTGCTGCAGGGGATTTCCTGTGACTAGAGTAGCAGTAACGTCCGGTAAAAAGCCGGGACTCGGCCACCTGAAATAACTGCTGTTATGACTTTGGGCCAATCAGCTGTGTTGGGCCTTCAGAGCTCTTCTTCTTTCACCGAAATATTCCCTCAGACAAACCAAAGACCTCGCAAATCCAACGTGTGGGGAGGATTCAACACAGGCAAAAAGATAACATAGCAGTATATCCTACACTTACTTTTTGAAATAGTGCGAGAAGCATACTACAGTTATCATAATGACAATTAACTCAGAATTTTAGATTTTAAATATTTATCAGCCTTCTTATTACCCTCGTGCACTTAACATAAATCAAGGTAATGCAACATGGTAGCTTCACAGGAGAATATTATGGACTTTCTATGTTATTGTGGGCAATCAGATTTAAATGTCCTCTTCATCACAAATATAGTACTTAAAAACAAATTAAAGACTTATATCAGACTGTTTGCACTATAACTTATAAGGCAGGAAGCTCTGAGAGTGCATAAGTGACAGTTGAAATGGAATGGCCCAAAGGTACAGTATGTAGGTCTTGGGAATAACCTGATCATCAAAATATGTTTAAGTTATGATCAACTAAACCCCACAACTATTTCTTCATATTACATGCAACTTCAGAGCCTGTTTCACTTACAAGCCAAATGTATTTGGCTACCAGAATATGGGTCAATGACAAATAAGCCTTTTAAAAATGTTTTTTTTTTTTTTTTTTTATAAATCTTTAAAAATGTACAGAATACATTTATTTGAAGTTGGAAGAGTGTTGAAACAAGTTTTAATGGTTGCACAACATTTACAGGGTTTTAGTACAGTTTTAGACTGTATTTGCAATTTCACCAGCCAAAAAATGTCAGGTGGTGCAACCAAAAGTTTCTTGAAAAAAAAGACACTTCCCTCTTTTTTTTTCGAAGTGATTATTTTAGTAAGTATACCTGAGAGTGTCTACTCTGCATAAAACATTACTATTTTGTAGTTGAGCTGCGTATTAAAAGTAACTTATGGATTCTTTATTGCAGGGGGCGGGTATTTTGGTTTTCCAAACAATTTAAGAACAATTAAACTATTAAACTTTGTTTATTTGAAAGGTTTTCAATATAAAATTATGCCCACATATTAATATTATATTAATTCATATTTTAAATTACATATTTAATACATTTCACATTGTGTTAACTTGCTCGGACGGTTGCGCCACCTAACATTTTGAGGGTTTGAGATGGCAAAACATAAAATATATATCATTGTTATGATAAACTGTAAATATGTTCAAATTAAACAGGTTTAATAGAATAAAATGATGCTTATTACGAATCATTTAAAATTATTTTAAACCAAAGTAGTACACTCAGACAATGTCTCGTCATTGACCCATATAAGTAAACAATAAAAGAGAGATACAAGTTTAGTCAATTACCCATACATGTGTCTCCCATCCCTCCAGCCTCCTCTCGGCAAAGTAACTGCATAGATAACCAATAATTGATAGGACACCATCTTCTAGACAGCCCTAGTGAAACACATTTGTTTGTTTTTGGGGGTGAAATTATGATAATAAATATTCTGCTACTCATTAAATGTAATAAAATGCAGGTTTAAGTACAACCTCAATTCCGAAATAGTTGGGACAAAGTGTAAATTGTGAATAAAATCAAAATGCAATGACTTTCAAATCACACCAGCCAGTATTTTATTCACAATAGAACAGAGATAACATAGCAAATGTTGAAACTGAGAAATTTTACAATTTTATCCACAAAATGAGCTCATTTCAAATTTGATGGCTGCTACAAGTCTCAAAAAAGTTGGGACAGGGGCCTGTTTACCATGGTGTAGCATCCTTTCTTCTTTTTAACACAGAGTGGAGGTGTCTGGGCATTGAGCAGACAAGTTTTTTGAGTTTAGCCATTGGAATTTGATCCCACTCTTGTTTAACACAGGATTCCAGCTGCTGGAGACTTTTGGGTCTCCTTTGACGGACTTTTTGTTTAATTATGCGCCAAATGTTCTCAATCGGTGAAAGATCAGGACTGCAGGCAGGCCAGTTCAGCACACGGACTCTTCTACTATGAAGCCATGCTGCTGTAATAGCTGCAATATGTGCTTTTGCATTGTCCTGCTGAAATACACAAGGCCTTCCCTGGAATAGATGTTGTCTGGAGGGGAGCATATGTTGCTTTAAACATTTATATAGCTTTCAGCATTCATGGTGCTTTTTAAAACATGCAAGTGTCCCACACCATATGCACTAATGCATCCCCATACCATCAGAGATGCTGGCTTTTGAACTGAACGCTGATAACAGGAGGGGTGGTCTTTCTCCTCTTTAGCCCGGAGGACACGACAGCCATGATTTCCAACAAGAATGTCAAATTTGGACTCGTCTGACCACAGGACACTTTGCAACAGTCCATTCTAAATAAGCCTTGGCCCACAGAACACGATGGAACTTCTGGATCATGCTCAACTATGGCTTCCTTTTTGCATGATAGAGTTTTAGGTGGCATCTCTCCTGTGATCTGGAAAAACCAAGTACATGTGTCACTTTTGGGAGAAACTGAGTTTGACGCTCATTTGCGGTAATTAAGAGCAGTGAAAATCTTAATACAGTAGCTATTAGTGTTATTTGAACTGTCAAAATCAGGTTTCTATAATTTCTTCCGGTTAGAAAAAGTCCAGAATCCAAAGGTTTTTGTTCAGTTGCAAGAATCCTTGCTACTGATAAATTCACTAGGTTTTTCCAGATCACAGGAGATCTGTGGATGGCACAGCGGACTGTGTTTACAGACAGTGGTTTCTTGAAGTATTCCTGGGCCCATTTAGTAATATCAATGACAGAATCATGCCGGTGAGTGATGCAGTGGCGTCTGAGGGCCCGAAGATCAAGGGCATCCAGTAAAGGTCTTCGGCCTTGTTCCTTACGCACAGAGATTTTTTCCCGTTTTTCTGAATCTTTTGATGATGTTATGCTTTGTCGATGATGAGACCTTCAGAGCTTTTGCAATTTGACGTTGTGGATTATTGTTTTTAAAGTACTCCACAATTTTTCCATGGAAGCCTTCACAGGTTGGAGATCCTCTGGCCATCTTTACTTCTGAGAGACTCAGCCTCTCTAAGACGTCCCTTTATAGCCAATCATGTTACACACGTCATGCCAGTTAACTTAATTACTTGCTAAATGTTCTTTCAGCTGATTCTCTTATATATTAATTGCTTTTCAGCCCTTTTTTGCCTGTGTCCCAACTTTTTTGAGACCTGTTGCAGCCAGAAAATTTGAAATAAGCTCATTTTGTGGATAAAAATGTAAAATGTCTCAGTTTCAACATTTGAAATGTTATTTATGTTCTATTGTAAATAACATATTGGCTCGTGATCTGAAAGTCATTGCATTTTGATTTTGTTCACAATTTACACTTCGTCCCAACTATTTCGGATTTGGGGTTGTATAATTAATTGAACATAAATAACGGATTTGTTTACAACCCAATTTTTTTTTTTTTTTTTTTTTTAATCATAGACGGTGTACTGAACCGTATATTTTAGGCCGGTGTTGTGCAGTCAGTTTGTTTGCTGCTCAGCTGGGTGTCTCTGGGCGTGAGACGCTGGCTTATCTGGGCCAGCCCAGCCCAGTCCTACCTACCTGCACCCTCTTCTCTCCTTTTCCAATTGAATTACCGGAGGTCAATCTGAAGCAGACGCGCAGCTGCAAACTCCCTCCGTCAAACCAAATAGGGAGACGCAGACGAAGCGAATCTCCCGGCTCAGTGCAGACAAGCTCAAACAGGCAAATACTTCACATGACTCTGCAGACGCGTTCGGCTCAGACGAGGAATGCCGCTTCTCCGACTGGCCCGCGAAGTAGAGCTTAGATTAACGGTTTCTAAAGCTAATCGTAAGTGGACATTGGCAGCCTGCCCATCCTCAGAATGAATAACTGCCATTTTATGTAGCTTAAAAAAATTTTGTTTAAATACCTTTGCTCACTTAGGCTATTAGCACTAGCGGAACTGTTAGCCATGAACAAATGTACCCCGATATTATAGGTATTTAAAAATAATGCTAAAAGAAAATAAATGCAAAAATACTCAACACGTAAAATATGCCACAATTACCGTAAATGTGAACCACAGATTACTGTACATCCCCTCTGTGTTGAGTGCGGAAACAAATGCAAGCCATAAAATACAAGATGAAAATCTGTTTAAACCAGTGAAACCACAGACTTGAGAAAAAAATTTGGCGACAGTGACAATGGCATGACCTATCGACTTCCTGATGGACACTGAAAAGTGTTTTGAAGTGATGAAAGTGCTCTTTTTTCCCTGAGTACAGAAAAAGGAGATCCTTATATGCGAATGACGTCTGGGACTGGCATCCTGGCACACTGTGAGTAACTGTCTGGCAACATTACCAAGCTCACGAGATATCGCCCCGCTGAATCACGCAAACTGACTCCGATCTGTCAACGAAATATTCAGCCACTATCCAAAAGGCTTATTAATTTTATCATTTGACAAATGTGGAGAGATAATAATACCAAGTTGGAGAAAAAAAAGAGAGTGTTTTTGCTTCGATTTTTGACTGTGTTGGTACCACTGACTTGCAGTGAAACAAGTGACTGAAAGATCAAAACTAAGATGATAAGATGAGATAAATAAAATATTTTATTGAACCCTGCAGGGTAATTTGACCTCTACATTTGACCAATCCTTGGTACTTCGGAGCAGTGGGCAGCCACAGAGCAGCACCCAGTGACCAGCTCCAGTTCTAACGCCAGAGTCTTGGTCAGGGGTACTGGTACGAGTTCTCCTATAGAGCATGAGAAAGGAAAACTGGAGCGCCCAGAGGAAACCCACACAAACTTCAGGTGGAGAGACTCACGCCTACCAGAACTTGAACCCGGAGCCCCCTAATTAAAAGGCAGCTGCGCTAACCACTGCGCCACCATGCCCCACCAAAAAAACCAGGATGTAAGCTTCAAAATTCAGGCCTGAAATTGAGCACTTTCACGAAACACAGTAATACAGCTCAATCAACTCACCGCAGTCCTCCAACTACCTCAACATCTCCCCACTGCATATCCCATGGTGCTTTACAAAGGGAACACCCCGGCCCAGAGAAAGTGGGATCTTGTGACCCATAACCCCCCCCATCCCCTACCCCCCAAACCGCTGCACCATAGTCTACAACCGCTACACAACCACACAAGGTTGAGGCAGACAGTGGGAGGCCACAATAGCCTATTGTCCTCGACGGACACTTCTCCCCCCCCAGTCACAGCCAGCCAATGGGAACTGCACGTGTCACAGGGCTGAAGAAAGTGGACTGTATTGAGTGAGAATGAGGTGGCGAAGCTGGTCACTCGGTGCTTGCCGCCACAGCGGGACAGCGCAGTCAGCCGAAGCGGACAAGCATTTTATTATAATTTTCTCTCTGTGCTTTCACTGCAGGGAGGGGGTAATCGCTGAGACCATAGATTATAGAGGATGCAAACTCCTTTTTGTACGTCACAGGATGTGAGCCGGCGCTGTTTTAGGGTGTGTCCACAGGATACTGTCGCCGGGTGGCCAATGGCTCCATGCAACACGCAGTGAGGGGTGGGGGGGTGGGGTTAGTGGGTGGTCAGGAAGTGGACCTATGAACCCACGGGTTTCAGCGGCATTTGGAATCCAGTTTCAGTATTGGTCTGGAGGGAAGAGATCGTCCGCCAGGATGCATCCTGCCGAGCCTCATCTTACTGTGAAGCCTGCAGATAAGAACAGATGTTCTGCACACGCACTGCTACTGCTGGTAACTCAGTCCTTACGGTCTGTGCGTGCAAATAACTTGCGAAAAACAAGGGTACACATCCATGAATAATGTTATGGGCTAGAAGAATGAAAAAACATGAAATATGGGTAACCATGAACCCTGATGAAGCAATAGGCCACAGCATTTGACCTACCCTAGCCACTTACATGGGGTAGCACAGAGACACAGTGAATAGCACTGGTGGTTGTAGGTTCAAATGTGGCCTTTCTGTGTGGAGCTTATAGGTTCTCCCCATGTTCATGGGGGTTTTTATAAATATGCCGGTTTTCTCTGACCGTCCAAAGACAATCATTTTCTAAAGGCTAATTGTAGACTCTGAATTGCTCGTAGGTATGAGTCTGTGAGTGAAGGGTGTATGTGCCCTATAATGGATTATATTAACTGTACAGGGTGTTCCTGCCTCTTCCCAGTGCATGCTGGGATAGGCACCAGCTCCACCGTGACTGCCCAGAAAAAAGTGGGTGAGATAATGAATGGATGGATGGCAGGATGGACAGATACTCATGAGCAGGGGGCAGCCACAGTGTAGTGCCCATTCCAGTTCTGAGGCCAGAACCAACGCCACGTGCACTGGTAGAAACCAGCAACAAGGAAAGCTTTCCCTCGGAAAACATTCCCTTGTAGATAAACCCTTGAATAAGAGATGTGCTGCTTTGCCTCAGTGGAAAACCAAAAATAGCATGACCGATGCGGTACTGAGGAGCACAGAAACTGTACCCCAGAAATCCCTCAGGTCGAAATCTGGTGACCTCTAGGGGCTCCTACCAGAGCACAACATGGCTCCCCAGAGATTTACCTCTAACATCATAGTAAGCATCGTCCTGAATTCCAGCCAAGTCAGTTACACTCCACTGTGATAATACAGAAGAAACCGTACACCGAAGACTTGGGTGAATTAGATTAGAGGGCACAAAGCTGAAGCACTCCAGCAATCACTTGCTTCAGAAATAAATACTGACCTGATTAAATTTGGTCGAAAGTTTTGTTTAAACCAGAGACAATCATTCCCCAATCATTTTTCTTTCTTTTCAGAATTTTTAGAATTATCTGGGGCTTCTCGCGTTTAGAAGGGAAACTTTAAGATCAAAATCAAAAAATCAGAGTAGTTCAATAAATTTAGGAGTACAAACAAGTGTGGTCCTGTCATGCAAAATCAGGTTGTGAATTATTCTTTTCAAATGGGACTTGAAGGAAAAGATAAGACAGCCACCCATCGCAAATCTGGAAAAAGTCCGACTTAGACTCATCCGGACTTCAAGCATATCATTTTCTTAATCCTTAAAAGGTGCGAGCAAAGCAGTAGTTTAGACGAACGGGGGGGGATGCAATGAGCAGCACAGATCCTTGGGGAGAATGAAGATAAATGGATAAGCCAGCTCTAACTGGCTTCAATCAAGCGACATATATATATATATATATAAAAATCAACATGTAACATCCATGGGGTATCCACGCAACTCGGCTGTATTGGTCAGCATTTGGTGGCAAATCACCTACACACCAAGGACCTCGCTAGCACGGGACATGCACACTTACATTACATCACACACGCACTGTTGTCTCCTTTTTCAACCAATAGCCTACCACACACAAAACCCCAAAGAGCAAAACTAGTGTCTTAATGGAATGGCCAGCCACGCTTTGTAATAAACACTGTCCACGTCTCCATACGGTCAGTAAAACTAAGTAACATAATCAACACGAGACTTAGTCGCAATTGCACTCCTCGTTATTTTGCATTACCCCGCATTACAAGCTATTCCGATGACATAGATCTAGAGCCCATTTTACCCCGCAATAAACGATGTCGCCGCGACGAATACCGCTTAAACGCTTATCAGGAATTGGAACTCAAAATTAAATAAAAAACAGTTTAATTTTGAATTAGCAAGCTGCTAAACTAAATCCATAGCCTACATCAATGCAGAAAATGGCAACTGTGTAAATCAATAACATCTAAGAGATAACTGGCCACGGGATATTGCCAAAAACGAGCAAGCGAAAACTACTGAACTACAAATAGATGAACAAGACCATCTCTCCAATAGTACCGTTTTCTACAACAGTAGCCGACGAAAGCGTCGGATCGGCTACCTGTCTTGGAAAATAGGCGCTTCTCAAGGTGAAACTGTCTGTCTTGATTTACAACAGATTTTACTTCTAACAGCTGGCAGCAGGTATAGATGAGGGCTATAAAAAGGCGTCAGGTCATATGAGATCCACAAAAACAAGCAACTCAAGATTTCCATCACGCAACTGTGTGCGGTTCTGCAGTGTGCGTTACAGCAGCGAATTTCACCGCACGCCATGCATTAACAGATAGCCTACGCGAACGGACTGCGGGCTTCGGTACTAACCTTAAATACATCTCCATATGTACCACTCCCGACTCGTTGGATAAGTTCGTAGTCATCCAGCGGGTCCAAGAACGAGACCCCAATGGTGTCCATGACGGTTCCGACTGTGTTGTCCGACTCACGCCCCTAGTCTCTCATGATATGACAGTTCTCCGCAGCCTCTGACTGACCTCGCTTTCTTCACAGCGTTACTACCGATTTTGAAACAAACGGATAAGAAATTCCACAGCTCCACCAAAGCAACCTTGAAGCAAGGTACGTCCGCGGAAAAGAGCTCGTTGCCCCCCTGTCCTTCTCCCTTAGCAGCGCAATGGAACAGCTGGCAGCGAGGATAGGGCTGTTGTGTCACAGCAGCAGGCAGGTCTCCTGAGCGCCGAATTTCGCTCGTCCGAAGACGCGCACTCTTGCGGCTGCGCTGTCCACACACTGAGCCGCAGAGGAACAGGTACAACTCAATACGTAAAACGCCATGAGCTGAAAACTCCGAATGGACATTACATTGAACGCTGAACAAAAAAAATACAAAAATAAAAATTGGGACTCAATAACAACAAAACGCAAATCAATTTTCATACTGCTTTTATTTTGTTCCCAGTGAAATTAAGGAGCAATGCAGTCAAAAAATAGTTCACATGGACGCAAACTATGCCACTATCGCAGTATACCATCTACTTCTAGATTTCTATTTTCTAATCCCCAGTTGGATTTCCTATCGCAAAGTATACAGTTCCTGCCTTTATTTTAAAAAGCGAAAGTCCTTAGGAAAACAAAGGACATGAACGAAGGCAGCAAGTCACTGCAACTACCAGTTGGCTACAGCAGTTTCACCTTCCCAGTCCAATTTCTCTCAAATTAAATTCTGTCAAAAAATAAAACCTGGACTGGGAAAAAAGCAACTAGCAAGTGGCAAATAGTACAGGACACAGTGCAGAGATTTTACTGGATGCGAACTACACGGACTTGGCCATTTAGCTATTCCTCACCTCGCAACGAAGGGTGTAAATGTATCCAGTGGTATTTTTTTCTTGGTCTGAACAAATGGTAATGGGCCTTATGGGACTGTGCCACATTCCAACTTTGACATTCCGACTCATATCCAGGATGAGCGCACAATTAATGTTGACATTTTCAATCCAAGGCAACGGTAGAGCGTTTGAAAAAGCACTTTCTAATTTTAGAGCCCCCCTACCCCCAAATCCAGGCGAGCACTGAACTAAACGCTTCTTCATGTTAGTACATAACACAAAGCTGACTGGTGAAAAATCTAGTCTGAACATGATAAACATTTTTACATGACACAAAATGAATTCCCAACCGACCCCACCCTTTTAATATGAAACATGACTGACACGGACTTCAAAGTATATTTCACACCTGCATGGTGTACCTAAAGGAGGGTGCAGCGCCAAACTTGATGGATCTCAATTCTGAGCAATGAAAAGGGTTCAAGTCTTAAATACTCGCGGCATTAAAATAAGAACCAGTCTGGTATTCTGTTGTGACGCGCCCATATGGTCTACAGAGGCGATGCATCAATCAGACATTTTTTGGGAACGGTTTACTCAGCGCAGCACAATGCTCCGCAATAACAGACTGCGCTGTCTCAAAACGGGACAACCACGTATCAGATATTAAACTGATAAGAACAGATACTACATTTGATCTCCGCATAAGGCCATACAGCTATGCTTTGCCACTGTGGACCACAAGGGGGCGTCGTTAAAACAACTCATGCAGAATCGGGGCCTACGGAGGACATGTCGGTTCGGATTATGGTTTTGA